GAGCTGCAATTGGTGACCGCTTCGCGACCGCTCGCGTCCATGTTCGTCAATCACGATAATTCTTGCCTTTTTAAGCCTTTTTTGTTAATCAAGCATAAGAACGCAGCTGTACACTACACTCGGAAAAAACGTAAAGAAGAGAAGAAGAAGAAGATAAAGAAGACAAACACGACGAACCATCCACGGGCGTACCGTATCGATCCTTGTTCAGTGACGACGACATCCGCAGCAACTTGTGACGATCGAATCGTTTTCGAGTCGATTGTGATTCGTCACGAAGATTGTACGTTATGATGAGGTTTTTACAAAAATTCTCCGCAAATTCTGGATACATGTCGAGCACGTCCAACAGATCGTCCCTAAATATTCAGTGACTATCATCATAAAACTTACACAGTTGTTACCAATCAGTCAGAGGGGTGTAGGGGAGCGTCAGCGGCGGGTGTATTTTGGCACGGCCTGTTTCCCGTGGATCGCTGTGGCTGCTGGGGTTTTATTAGAGGTGGGGAAGGGGTTAGCGGGCGCAGTTCGGCGATGGGGGGGGGGCATTTTGCACTTCGTTGCTTCACTAGTTCCGTTTACAAGTCTCACTCTGGTGAAACCTGTGAACTCTTGTGAAGCTGGCAAGCTCGTCAAGCCATCATGGTAAAACCTGTCAACTCGAGAAGAGGCTGTCTAGATGGGTTGACACGATGCCCCTCCGTCGGCCGAATGGCGCTGCGCCAAAACGCGAAAGCGCTGCTTAACACGCCCCGACTGATTTCAGCGATCACATATTAAGTAATTGAAACAATAAAGAAATAGAAGCTAAGAATGAAAGGACAGGATCCAGGAATGGGAATGAGAAACCAGGGATACCTGAGAATTTTGTGAAGATCGCAGTAAGTCAAAGCTCGAACGTTACACGATGACTTTCCCACATCTTCGTACAGCAACGGATTTTCGCCGAATATGTCGTCCTTTCCTGAAAATATGATCCAATACCAATGAAAACTATGAAAATTATAAAAATATAAAGGAGCATGATCCCCTAAGGAAGGGTTAGAGAAATTATTTTCTCTTGGATAAAAAAATGCAAAAGATTGAATGCAGAGAGATGTGTCAGGAGATCCGAGTTGCGGACGCGGTGCGATGAAATTGGCATTGCGAGCAGGGAACAGTATAACTTTGTGGAAAATTTTTGCAAAACATGACCCCTCCACCTCGAATATCGTCCGCTGGGACAATCCGTGTTTCGTCCTACCTATTTAGCGTCGTTCCATATTTTCCTAAGAATTTGGCGTCGACTGTGCGTGAGTTTGTGAGGGGGAGGGTAAAGAGCTCCGATCAACTTCAATGGAAATAGCATTTTAACCCGCCGTCAACTTGGTGGGATAGGTTAAGGTAATGTGGAACGAGAGTGGTTGAAAACAGAGAACCTTTCGAGGCAAAATACATTTCCTCCTTTTCTGTGGGCCCCATCGCTCCATCCCCTCCCTCCCCCCTCGCCCCCGATGTGTTCTACACAATGGACGATTACTTTTTTTCAAGTGGCATCGCGAGCCAGGCATATTCACCAGGAACAGCAAGAACGAATTATCATGCCGTCGCGCGTGTTTGTGCGTCGCCGCAACTCGGATCTCCTGACCTCTGAGCCCAGACAAGCTCCATGAAACTCACCGAGAATACCCATGACGGTGTTGTCGTCGTTAAGGATCTCCACGCTGCCTCTTGCGATGAAATGCAATCCGGTAAGTATGTCACCACGATGTACTAGTGTGTCACCCGGTGGAGCGTGAGTGGTTCGAAATCTGAAATTAAGAAGGTAAACAAATCGAAGAACAAGCGTGACAGGGCATGATGCGGTCAAAGAACTCTCAACGAGGAGTTGCTATTGATGGGGTTGTAGTGGACTTGTTGGGACATGGGTACTGTAGGCGTTGAGGTCAAATGGCGTGGAAAATCCGGAAAAGGCAGTTATTTACCCTCTGTCAAGTGCATGTCCTGTCATTGGTTTTTCGCAATACGACCAACCCCCCCCCTCCCCCAAAATCTTTCCTCTGGTACGACCCCCTTCAGCATCCTGCTCACCATCTCCCTGAATTCTCCAACTTCGTACCATTTTTCCCAAATGTCGAGTGAGAGAGGGGAGACAAATGGTACGGAGTTGGAGAAATTCTTGAAGATGGTACAGTCTTGTTCGCTGCAGACGCTGGGGTGAAAGAGGTGGGGGAGAGGGAAGGGTGGAACTTGGTTCGGCGCAGCCATAGCTGCCAGTTCTCCACCATCTGATGTCGCCTGCCAACTTTCAAAACTGGTGGAAGCTGACGCAACTTTCCCCCTCTCCTCCCTTTCCCCCTTCCCAACAGCGAACAAGACTGTAGGCAGTATGTGAAGGGGTGTTGAAAGAAGAACCATCGAGAGTGGGGAGGTCATGTAATAGTGGTCGCGACACCGCTGTTTCACCCATCCCAGTGCTGTACCCTGAATGGAGTTGGCGTGCTAAACGGCCCACTTTCCCGTACGCCCTGAGAGGCGCTAAATTATAGCTGTGAATCTTGGAAGAGCGAAAATTCGGTTAGAAGGGGGGGGGAACCTATGGAACCCTTAACTCTCGCCACCAGCTAGCCCAGACCTGCATTGAATTGTTTCACATAGGAGGTCTGAATAGAGCTTACACTCAGTAAGGAAGAACTTCTGCGAACAGTAATCAATAGCTCCTACTACAGGTCCAAAAAATCAAAAAGTAAAGCGTTCAGAAATTATGTTTTCCGGAGACTGCTGCGCCGCAGGATCTGTAAAATGGGGCAGAACTGGATAACCACAACACTGAAGCACCTTTTTTTCTGAGGACTGGCTCACGAACTTATAGACCCACAAATAATCGGTAATCAAAGTAAAAAAAACAATAATTACCACGTACCGCATACTTAACGCTCGTAAACATCCAGGTGATGAACCAGCAAACGCCGGACAACTACTCAACAGATTCCGATTAAGATGTAGACAAATATCGGCTTGTAGGCAATCCGGAAACCCTTTCAGCACCTTAAAGATAACTATGATCATCGATCAAATCGCTATGGGGCATACGTCCCTTAGAAGAACGTCTGGGCAACAAAAACCGCGGCTGTTCGGCTTGGAGGGGGCATTTCTGATCGTTCCTTTTAGCAAAAATTGGCGTTGTTAGTGCTTGGAGGGGCATTTTGTTCGTTCATTCTGGATGAAAGGTTCCCTTTAGTGAGACCTGGGAATTCCTGTGGAACTGCGAAACGGTACGGCCCGGTGAGGAATTTACAGGTCTCAGAAAGTAAAATTTAGTTGAGGTAGCCTCCATGTGCCCCCCCCCATCCGAGCCGAACCGATCCCAAAATCAATAATTTATGGTATACCAGGTTCATGTCAATGCCGTTGGTGTACGACCATGCATGCTGAAAGTATTCCTCAAGCCGTTGTCGTAACGGATTCGGAATCTGATGGAAACGGATGAATTCACGCAACCGTGACATTTCCGTGTGGTAACTGAATTAAAATTTAAAAATAAATTTAAAAAAAAATTAAATAACAATTATCAATTTAAAATAAAAATAAGTAAAGAAGATAAACCAAATAAGACAAACAAAACGGATAAATGTAGACATAGCATACGTGCTGTTCGCTGTATAGACCGTTGTAGTAATGGCTGATACGTTTTACCGGAATACAGAGGCATACATTTAAAGCTAATAGGCAATTTTCCAGACTGACCTGACGGCAGACGAAAAACCAATCGATAACGGCAATTATTGGGGAAAGATTAAGTTTCACTTACATCCTAGAATCATCATTATAATAGTGAAAATCTTTTCGGAATCCGTCGTCGCAGAGACGTTGCCGAAACCTGCAAAAGGCAATCACGTAGTGATGGAAGACGATTATTGATTTACCTAATCGATAATGACATTAAAGTGGGTCATAGTCAAATCATAAAATCTCTTTTTATTTTAGGTTTTATAAGGCGAAACGTGTTCACTGCAGGTGAGAGCGTCGGTTGATGGCACGTGATTGATCAGCGGGCGTGCCCACCAGTCACAGCCATTCGCAGCGCGGCAGACCATCAGGAAGCTCCGCCCATCGCCATGCATTACTTTTAGAAATCAGCGCAGCAACTTGTTTCGTTAAAAAACACAGCTATTAAAATTACTTGTCAGTTCCTCACTGTTCGAATTTCAAATTAGAAACTAAGGAAACCAGAAATCCCGTTCCCCGCAGTCCTAACGCAAGAGTACTAATTAGACTGAAGTGTATTCGCTCCATCGCATAGCGTATGCACAAATGATTCCGGGCCTATCACGAAGCGAGCTATTACTCACTGTGGGCGTACCGTGCGTTATTAGTAACAGTGATAGAGATGACACAGGAAGGCAGCATGCCTAGCACCCCGGCTTGGAGCCCGCCATACTACCGGAACGCGAGTGCGCGTTCAGACACTTTTGGCTATTGTCGGTTGGTGAAGGGTGTGAGGCAGAGAATAAAGCACTCAAACAAACGAACAACTATTGAAGTATCGTCGATATTGTAAATACAATGACGTCACAATAATCGGCTCTTACCACCATGGCCCGTCGGTGCCCGAGCCAGACGGTCCACCCGTAGGTACTGTGCCATTTGTCGACAGATATGGCTCGTTCAGATGCCGTGCTGAAAAAAGACTCCGTGATTCTACTGGATAACTATATCGATTCATCTGACTGACGTAGGAAAAACGCTATAAACCCTGCATGAATACGGATTCGCGGACGATTATCCGATTTGCTTCAAGCCCTATGCCTTAAAAACCAAATTACACCACAAAAGACCATCGTTAGTTTGAGGAACATGGCGTCGGAAAAGAGAGAGTGAGCGATTAGGGACCAATCCACCCCTACCTCCGGACAGTCTGTGACTCTCGCTATTCGGTCAGATTTGATGCACGATGATGGGGAAATTGCAGATTTTTGTAATCCCAACGTAAGGCCCCCACAAGAAAACGTTTCGTTGACGTGTGAAGTAGCGTGTGTCAGTACGACCGCCCCCTCCCGCCCCGCCCACACTTCTGGAAATTTCCATCTTTCCCCAAGTAGGGTCCCTATCACAACTCCACACTAGCTACCGTTACCAAAACTGCCAATTCTGTGGAATTTCATGCAGTTTTCTAAAAAAAATCGGCGCCTACTGGTGTATGGAGGGGAGATCCTCAGCAATCACCTATAAAGCTGTGACAAACAGTTGTTGTCAAAAAGGAGTTCTACGGCGCCGACAACTAGGGTGGGGGAACATAGCGAACATACGGAACGGGATAAACTGAGAACAATCAATTGCCCACCGATGCCGTCCACCGACAAGTGGCCACATATGTAGCCACAATAATTGGATCAAGTCGGATCAGCTGTTTCAGCCCCACAACTCTGCGGCTAAATGCCTTGCTTCCCAGAATTCCTTGGAAGTGGTGAATATCATATTGTAACGATAAACCTTTTTTAGCAGCAGAATGGCAAGGGGGCCTTTTTCAGTATTGCAGACATCTTAAAGGCTTGAGGGACGAATTTGGTACTCGGTATAAAAGCAGGGGTGCTAAACGGCTGATATAGCGGGAACTTGAAAAAAGCCTTTGTTCTACACGACTCAAAAGCAATTTTGGACGAGTTCCCCTTGGCATCGTGCCAATAACCGCTTTGGCAGATGCGGATGCATGTAAGTATTTCATATAACCATGCAGCACCGCAAGACCGCCTTCATAGCCATTTTCCCTTCCTTCAATTTTACTTCGGCGGAAATGAAGGGGCAATACGCGCTTCAGCATCGGTTTTGGAGCATGGGGCAGTGGGCGTCCGGGTCGGTAAGTTTGCCCTTGTTAGGGCCTAATAAGGATACCATCCTTAGGGGACGGCGGCCGCAACGCCTGCTGAGGAGTGTCGAATTCCGTCCTGCTAGGTGATGAATCTTACACATCTTGGGGATTTATCGCGCCACTTGCCTTAAAAGTGCAGTACTTGTAAGGCGGCTCGTATAGTGTTACGTAACCCAGACCCGCGCAAATCGGCTTGTTGGGGGCACAAAGTCTGCTTGGGGGGGGGTTATGAAGACATGTAAAATCCTGTAACCAGAAGGGCCTAGTTGTAATAGTTCGCCAGCTTCACAAGAGTTAACAGGTCTTACCAAAGTTAGATCTGTTGCTCAACATGAACTAGCAAAAGGAACTAGCCAAATTGCGATCCCCCCTCCTAAGCCGAATAGCGCCCGCGAACCTTTAGAAATTTGTGAAAACGCAGATGTCCATACTCTCCTCTACTGAAAGAAAGGCTACTAGCCGCTTCCTATGCAAAAACGATGCAAATTAAGCGCTCCTCTCATCATTCTTTGGGAGCCACTCCCACAAAAGGGTTCGTCACGGTCTTCAGGCCTGACGAGGGTTGGGGGAGGTATGGAGCACCAGTCTTACACTTCATATCCCAGAGAAGAAGTGGCCGTGGCTGCGTACTCCATTGGAGTAATGGCGTAGGATGCGTTTCCGGCGGAATGATTCCTATTTTGGACAGCTGCACTTCTATCCTATGCTCAACGAAGACAGGATAAAAGTTGTCCTTGGACGGTAGTATCCCACCAGAAGCACAGCTGCAGCCACGTCCTGAAAAAGTACGCAGTCACGCCCCCAATATATTCGCGGTATGGAGTGTAACGCTAAAAAAATCTACCCGAAAGCCCCTGTATCCATCAGAACGTCGTGCTCTATCGGAAATAAAGCGGTTCGATGCGGTCGGATAGAGAAATTAGGCCAGCGCTGCACATTATGGCAATGCGTGGTTGCCTCATTTAAGTCAATTTGAATGGAACTATGACGTCATCCATAAGGGCCCATGAGAGCAGTCGTCGCGCCAAAAATAACCTAAGGCAGTAGCCATCTCCTTGGAAAAGCTGAGGCGCTCTTTGGAGGAAAAACGACAATTGATGGTGGACCCAAAATAGCAAAGATGAGCCTCCATTTGTCACATTTTCCGCTTGTTGCTATAGCAGCTCAACTTCCGTTCGGCAAATTTTCCTCTATACGTGGGACTCCGCCCACTCACATGACAACTCGTACAAAAACTCACACAACTGATGTAACCACGTGATTTCACGTTTGTGTGGTAATTCTGCGCTTCCAATCGCATACCATATACACGCCAACCAATGAGCGATAAGAGCAAATGTCGCCATTAAAAGTAACAAAACGGCAGCACCGTACTCGGAATACCTGAAAAAAATGGGGTGGCGTCATCACTCTTTCAGTAAAAATAAAAAAATCATGTGGAAAATTGGTGAAAAGACGGCGTCGTTCGGCATGGTAGGGGCACCAAACGGCACCCAGCGAAGTTTGCCTTGTGACCCGCAAATTTCTATAATAAAGTAGCCCACATGGACTTTTTTGCAGCTTCACAAGAATGTACAGGTCTTACCGAAGTGAGATTTGTTAGACAATATCAACTCGTAAAAGAAACTAGTGAACGTGCAAAATGCCCCCTCCAGGACAAACAGCGCCGAAAAAACTTTGAGAGAGAAATAATTGCCATGAAAGGCACGTCCAGCGATGTTCGGATGTACGGAGATTATCAGCCTCCATCGCTGGTGCACCCTTATTCTGGCCAATGAGAAAGGCACAGTGCTCATGAGTCTCCGCCCCTTCAGTTATCGCGGAATGTGCTTTTGAAATAAAACATGATCAAAGGGCTTGTTATAAAAATATATCTTCTCCTGCATAGCGTTAATTTCGCGCCGTCGCAGGGTCCGCTGGTATAGCCGAGTGGTTAAGAGTGCACTTTCACGCTTGCCCCTGAGTCCCGAGTTGGATCCCTGCCCAAGCACAAACCATGCCTTGCAAAAATCGTAAAAATGGGGACGATATCAGCACCAGGTCTAGGGTTGAAAGGCTGATAGAGAAGCCTGTCATAACAAAAATGGCAAGAATTTGTAAAAAAAAATGGAAATACATATATGGGGATAACAATTCGAGGCACTATTTACCCTTCACTGCCCCAATCTTCCAAAAACAAGCCAGTTTTTGACTTTCTTTCTGCGTAGGCAAAATTGGCTAAAAATTTGTTCCCTGGGGTAGTTTGACCTCCTGAACATGAATATCACATCCGCTCGGCACGAAACCTCATGGCGCCCGCGCCACAGGCGCCGGCGCCAAAAACCCTAAATCACCAAATTCGCTGAAAACTTGTTTCCAGGGGTAGTGTGACCTCCTGAACACGAATATCACATCCGCTCGGCCAATTACCCCAAATCACTGGCGGCCTGCGGCGCGGGCGCCAGGAAGTTCCGCGAAGAATGTGATATTCGTATTCTAGGGGTCAAACTACCCCAGGAGACAACATTTGAGCCAAATCTGTCCACGGAGAAAAAAGTCGGTCGAAAACTGGCTCAATTCTGGATGGTTGGGGCAGTAAAGGGTAAATAGTGCCCAATTCGAAACAAACACTGGCAAAAGAGAAGCGAAAAAAGCGAAATAGATACAAATCGATTTGCGGAAAATCGATCGAGCTATTTTGATTTTTTCAAGCTGGATTGATTAGCTCTTTACTTACCTATCTAATTTCCTTGCTACCCGTACTAACCGTAATAATCGAGCAGTTTTCAGTAAGCCAATAAGCGTGGTGGTCTGAAAAAAATGATTACGTCAAGGGTACCATAATATTATATTTATTAGATATATGCATGAGTAATCTGCTAATTTGAACGTCATTTTTCATTCTCTCACTCTGCACAGCGGCATTCACTGTGACGTAGGTAGACACCATGGCCTCGACATGAGGAATTTCGCCCATCCATTAATAACTCGTACAGGGTCTCTCTGCAACCCCACCTACTAGCATGACACCATTCGCACACAATTTCAGCGTAATTTGGCTTGGTGGGTGCATCAGATTGCACTGAGAGAAGCTTGTACAGGCATCTTGTAAAGATCTGTAAAATCTTGTTACCAAATCGCTCACTGTTACCATTCCCCAACTTCGCAAAAGTTACAGGTTTCACCAGTATGAGACCTGTTAGTCAACACGAAATAACAAGCGAAACTAACAATAGTGCAAAATGCCCATCCCAAGCCGAACAGCGCCCACATTTGCATTCAAGGTAATCACGTGACCGCTTAGATGGCCGCCTAGCTAAAGAAAAAGAAAGGAAAGGAGATGGTGTTCTCCTTTCTGAAAGGACCTCAGCCGTGATCTGATGAGCTGCTTCTTTGATGTATCGCCTGAGCTAATCACTTGGGCGGAGACAGACAACCATTATGACTTCTTCATTGGTAAAACTTCTGAGACGGCAAATAGGAGCAGCACGCCTATGAGGAGGGCACAATGGTTCTCCTTTTCCGACTTTGGCTTTGGTTTTGGCGTGGACTGCGCTTCTCAGTTCCCGGCTTTTCCTTCTTTGTGCATCTTAAGAACGGACAAGTTATCGGTTTTATTGATTTTTTCTGATGAAAATCAAAATTTCCTTTACTTCGTCCAAGATATCAGTTTTATTGATTTTTTTATGAAAATCAAAATTTTCCTTACTTCGTCACTATTAGTATTCACTAATAACAGATCGAATGGCACGGCAGCTATCATATCTATGACGAACCATCCCTTGAAATAGTGGATGGCAATTTTACCCGGGTGTGACACTACCTGAAATTGAGAAAATTTCATAAACAAAAAAATTTAGGAGCAAAATTATGGAATTATGAAAGTTTTTTGCATCAACTGATCCTTGTACGATACGCCATGCACCCGGCTTACGCTGAAAATCGTAGAGACGTTTGACAGGGTATTCGGCACATGAAATGACCTCCGAAGTCAACCAGCCCTTGGTTCTAATGGAAACAGAAGGGGTGACGCTGGTTTCAATGACCATCAGGGCATATCCTGTCGCTGGGGAGAATTTCTGCAAATTACCACCCTCAGGCTTGATGTTCTGGTACGACTCCCTCCCCTCTTCTTCCTTCTCCCACCTTTCCACCTGCCATCTTAATGACTTCTCCCAGCTTCCACCACTTTTCCGAAATTTTCCAAAAATGTTCCAGCATTTCCACAAAATTTTGCCAGGGGGGGGGCGTGTCGCCACCAAAGAAGTGCTAAGCACAATCATCGGAAACAGTAGTTTTACAGGAGTGGGTGTGCCACTCACAAGGAAAGGGTCCAATCGGGAAAATGTCATGAAAAAAAACTTCCAGAGTGCCGGATACGGCCCGCCCTTTAAAAGGACGAGCAAACACCCCCCCCCCTGCC